GTAAGATGCAACGGTACATGAATTCAGCATTCTGTTCTGTTGACCATTACGAGCCTGAAAATGGGTTTGCTGCAGTGCTACAGCAGACAGAACAGCTTGTGTCCTGAATCGTAATGCGGCTCTTCACTCTGAACAGCGTGTGCTTTATTCAACGCACCGTAATATAAACAAATGAAGGCACTATATGTTGCCATCGGGCTAGTCGCTGTCAAAGCATTTCGTTCAGATGTTAGGATGAAGGATGTTCTGTGTTTTTTCCGTGCTCTTATCAGCACCGTTGAAATGAAAACGCGTGAACATCAATATTTTAAGATGCGTAGATAAGGGCTGTTACATAATAGCTCATATCCTTAAATTGACCTCGATGCCCTCTAAAGCAGTCGTGATGCTGTGACACTTTAAATCCACGATGCCAAAGCCACCACATATAGGCTTTAGGTCCAATTTTATGGAATTGGAATTTTTGCCATTTTATATATTTTATATATATATATATATATATATATATATATATATATATATATATATATATATATATATATATATATATATATTTTTTTTTTTTTTTTTTCATATTAGCCCCCTAAATCTGGTTGAATTTTAATTTCAACTATTATCATTATTTTCTGTGTATGTGTAAATTTCTGTATGTTTGTGTCAGTGGACATAAAACTAGATTTAATCTCTGGTTACCTTGTGAGGCTGCTTTACTCTTGGTTCTCCATCTAGTGTCCTTGTTTAAAGATTCACCTTGCATTAATAGAGGAATGAGAGATGCATGTCTCACTGGAATTTTGTGTAGACATAATTTGGGATTTAAATTGTGCCATTTTGAAGTATACAATCTCAAACGCGGAAAAACATGACTCCAGCATCCCTTTACATTGTTCTTAACATGAAATTCTTTGACTTGCATAGCTGCCTGACATTAAACAACATAATCTGTCTCATTCTGACCAATCGTCAGGCTGTGACATCATCAGTGCACGCTGCAGAGTGGAGAGGGTGGCATGACTCAGAGCTGCTCTGTAGAACAGATGGTTCCTCAAACACACTGCTCCATCTCACAGCTTGCTGTGTACTTTATACACAGCCTTCTTGCAGTCGTGACAAAATATAGTGCCTGCTCTGTGAAATGCAGAGGCAGGTTTAACTAGTTTTACCTCCATTATTTATTCTTGGAAATTTAATTGCATAGTAAATACTTGCTTGTATTTGAACCATAGGTTTGCCCATTACTAACCAAACAAAATAAAATGTAATAAAAATAAAAACAAAAACTATAGCATTCAGATTATATTCAAATTGTGTACCTGAATAGGCCATGAGAGACAACAAGCATTTGTTTATAAGGTATTTTGTTCATGAGCACTTAGTTTTAAAATGACAAACAAAAAAACAAAGCATTTCCAGCACTCTAACACTTTAGTTTACACCATCTGGCTTTTTAGCCAATTGTGATTTGTTGCACAAAACTGAGGTGAGATTTCATGAAAACTGTCTTTGACTATTGGCTGTATGTAATTATGCAGAGATTTTGTAAGTGTCTTATGAAAGTGATTTTTATTTGAGTATACACAAAGACCACACACACACACACACACACATTCTGTTTTCATCAACTATGAATTTATTTTGAGCCTGTGTACAGAAAATGTCATTTCTGTTTTATTACATGTAATAGATGAAAATTATGCAATTAGAGAACATCTTTCTTGATTTTTTTTTTACCATTGGGTGTTTTGAAATGGTTGATCACATTGTCACAAATTCGTGTTGTTGTTTTTTTCATTTGTGAGCAGCAGTGTACTTGGACATGTAGAGATTTCTTTAGCTTCTATCTCTAGGTTTCTTTGATGTAAGGCACTATTTATGCATCACAGCGCCTGTCCCAAACATGGCTGATGTTTTTTTCTGCTTTCCCCTATTACAAATTCTGAACGTTGCTTACTGCAGTGCACACATTTTTCTGTTGAAGTTTTTGTCAGCTGTACCACATACTTGGCAGGCCAGTGTTTTTAAAATGACCCTAAACAGTGGGACATTTTACCACCTAAAGAATGAGATGTTTTTCCCTTACAAATATTAAAATATATTATTTTATTGTTGTGTGTTTTAGCACATCGCTTCCTGTACTTGAACAGTATGTTCAAGATTATCAGTAAAATGCTTATCAAAAATGCTAAGTAAAATGCTAAGTTATCAGTAAAATGCTAAGTTTTTAAATGCTAATCAAATTGTTAGCTGTCTATTGTCCATCTTCACAGAAATTAAGACTGTTTCAAATTGTAGAGAGCAGATTATACACCCTCCTAAAATAGTACTTTCAGTATGGAATGCCTTTTATAGTGTTATATAGGTGAGCCTGTTGTAAGGTGAGTACATAGTCACTGAAAAAAACATGCACTGGCAAGCTAGTTAATAGTACAGTGCCTAGTGCAGGTAACTGGTGATCAGCCCCTATCTGGCCTCAGGAGGAGATGGCTCCGGTTCAGAAAATGCAGCAGTGCTCAAAATGGGTAAAACATTTGTTCCAGCTGATTTACCTCAGATGGCAGATTTAGTTCCAGATGGCAGAGGGGCAAAAGCCTCTGAGAGAGAAAGGCCCTGCACAGTTTAGTAGAGGATAGGGAAGTAGACATTTGTTAGTTTTAAAGTGCTTTCACCCATATACTAACTTATATTATTTGGCTATAAATATAGTAATTATAACAAACGATGTGTTAATGGTTAACTAACTCTATCTATTGTTGCAACACCAAAACATAGAATATTCAAATTTTATGAGCTCATTAACTTTATATCATAAGCCTACTATCTTTAAATGATTTCCTAAGCCTACTTTGGTGATAAGCAGTAGTTTGTTCTTTCCTGGAACCAGCTCATTTGTTTTGTTCTAATCTCCAGCACCTACAGGATTTAAGTCTATGCAGAGTCAGTGTTAGAATTAATTATTTCAAATTTTGCATGTTCTCATGTTCAATTTTAGTACAAACAGAACATAAATATTATTTTTTTAGTCTTTTTAGAAGACTTTTTATTTTTATTCTCAACATGCAGTATAAGAGAGAATGGTGAAAGATTTTCAATTTCATGTTCACATGAGAAAGTTGATATCGATAAATGGTGATGCAGAGACACCCACTTTCATGTGAATGGCTGATTTTTCACATATAGCACAGCAACTACTGATTAACAAATACTTGGTTAAACCTTATTTTAAGAGTTTAACTAAGGATTGGTTTTGTTTATAAGATGCAAAGCAATGTGTGCTCATGTTCAATTAGTAAAAAATCACGTTATTTTTTCAAATATCTTACTTTGATTATATACAGCTACTCAGCTAACATGAAAATGACTGTCATATTACCTAGTTCCTCTGAAAGTCCAGCCCTCAAGAGGCTCTGATTGGTCATCTAACATAATATGCCTGTAATTCACAGATAGGCTCCATGTCATCAGTAAATCATCACGCCTCCACAAGCACGCACTTTGATTCTGTTGTGTTAATAGTGTCTGAGTAGGAGTAGTGGTTAAAAGTATTTGTTTGAGCCTTAATCAGACAAAAAATTAAAAGGATGAACTTCATGCCAGCTCTCTAAAATAACATTTGACGAGTCTCTGTAATGAGTGAAAATAGGGGGTGGCTCCTTTAATAGAGAATTTCTATTTTGTGTGTGTGTGTGTGTGCGTGTGTGCGTGTGCGTGTGTGTGTGTGTGTGTGTGTGTGTGTGTGTGTGTGTGTGTGTGTGTGTGTGTGTGTGTGTGTGTAAACAGTCTGTAGACTCATGTAACATGAGAACGGGGCCGTTTTAAATTTTTTTTTTTTTCCCTTTGATGCTTGAATTAAGTTATTTTTCTGTAATATACAGTGACGCTTTTAACAGAAGAATAAAACGCAAGATGTGGAATGTGACCCCTCCCTTTGAGCTTTGATGGATGAGCTTTTTCTGATAGAACACGAGTTAGGCAAACTATCCTGTATTTTATCATCTTACTCAACGTTACATGTCTTTTACATATATTCGGAATAAGCATGTGTAATTAATATGAAACATTCACTTGTCTTTTGTGAGTTCATTATTTGAAATGTAGAATGTAGGGAACGTGGCCACATAGAGAGACACTACAGCGCTGATGAAGATTGTGGATGTTTACATGGGTTTGACTGATAAATATGAATTTGTAGCTAAATTGTTGCCAAATAGAATTTCCCATTGTTTACATGCGTGTTTATGTTCTTGCTACAACATACTGTTAGCACTAGTCATTTTTAACAAATCAAAATACTTACAAATTGTGGCTCACAATACAGGAGTCCAGCACTGAACTAGGAGAGATTTTGGAAGCTGTCCTTTGTGAAATGCCAGCTAAATATTTTTTTAATACTCTGAAATATAATAAGAATTTAACTGTAAGCAATTCTTTCTTTGTGTCTTGTCCTTTGGAGGTCCAAATACAGAAATAGAAAAGCTCTGTTGAAATAGCAGCATTTGGGCAGGATTGTAGCTACTGTATTGTGCTAATTTGTACAGCACATCTGGCCAAGCCCCTTCACTGTACGAAGTGTATGCAAGAGGTGTATGCACGTAACCAGTAGGGTTTATGACATCATTAAGTCGGATGTATATTTTGTAGTCCCCAAACTTTGTTCGCTGTAGGCTATGCTAAGCTAACTCTGTAAAAGCCAAGGTCTCTCTTTGCATTGAACTTTGAGTGTCTTACATTCAGAGATGTTGTTTATGTTCACACAGCTACATTACACATGAAATAAAGTTTAAAATATGGTATTGTAGTGGACCACCCCTTTAATTCAAGTACTGAGTAAAAACAACTACATGTACTCACTATATGATTAGAGTTAGAATGCAGATTTAATTGTAATTGCATACAATTATGTATAATTCGTTGTAATTACCATAGTAAGTACATAGAACGTTTAACAAGGACACCTTAAAGTAAAATGTTATCTAATATGGTTTAATTTACTGTTTGGCCTT